TAATATTAACTTTCAATTTCTCTGAAGTGGGAATCCATTGGAGTGTGAGACTGAGAGGAGACAACAGAGTGAGGAGGAGGATGATGGCGAGGAGACAAGTTCTTCCAGTCAGGAGTTTGAAGATGGCGGGCTAAGAGAGGAAAAGGCTCACTCTGATTCTGAAATTAAGGTACACGTTATTTAAAATAAGGTGACGGGGTATTTACAGATGTGTACAGTACAATTTACAGTTTGTTAGTTGCCACTTTCAGCCATACTTTTCTGAGATCACTGCTGTTATTTGTGCTTTATTGTATTTTTAAATAATCGTTAATCTCTTTGTTTATCTCAACAGATGGTGCAAAAGCATGAGGAACGAAGAAAGGTGTCTTCTATCAGAATTCGGAAAACTTTACCCAAGCCTCAAAATAACCTCACACCCATGGGGCTGCCCAAACCCATCAGGTATGTGCTCTATATAAATAGGTATCAGGTTTTATTTCACTGTTTCAAGCATCACTAGGCATCAGTTATGTTACACGTTTTTATGTGTGTGTGTGTGTGTGTGTGTGTGTGTGTGTGTGTGTGTATACATACACAATGTGTATATATAGTTTTTAATTACATGGTGCTATTTATTAAACATGTTGATTAAGACACTAACAAATTTAATATTTTGCCAGCATTTTTCTTTTGTTATGTTGTGCGTTTTTACACTTGAAGGATGGAAGCTAACTGTGGGCACAAAAAGCTCAGATGATGATTTTTTTTTTTTTTTGCAAGCTTTGATTTCAATTAGCATGTAGCGTGTATCTTGACTTAAGCGTGTATCTTGACTTAAGCGTGTATCTTGACTTAAGCGTGTATCTTGACTTAAGTATATGTGTGAGAAAGTGTACTTGAAGTAAAACTTGCCGTGAAAGGGGTAGCTCGCTATAAACGAGCAGTATGTAATAATGAGTGAAACGAGACTGGGGTAAATGCATCGCAATTTTCATTTTATTAATTTTATCCTATTTTTTTTTTTAAATATGTCAGTATCAGAATCAGAGACTTTTTTAAACCCAGAGGGATTTATTAATCACAGAAGAAAATTGATATATATTGGTAAATTCAGGATCTATGGTTTGCTTCAAAATCAAAAAAACATTGATTTCTCCTAGCTCCAGTTCAGTTGGGGCAAAAAAGTAGGACAGATTCTGACTGATCTACCACTGAAAGGAAATTTATGTCAGTGCATTTCAGTACATGTGAGTTTTCTATTGATGTCTCTTTGATCAATAGAGATGCTCCAGCAGTGGTTTGTCTTTTTGTTCTGTTACATTACAGACTGAAAAAGAAGGAGTTCAGTTTGGAAGAAATTTACACCAACAAGAATTTCAACAAACCCCCTGAAAGGTAAGTTTGAGAGAAGCAACCACTGTTCCCTTAATTATTCCGTTTCTGAATGTCTGCTTCACGTCTTATCGCCACTCTTTTCCTTAAGGCAAAGAGAAGATTCTGCTGTGGTCCTATTCACAGCCTACAGGCAGCTTTGCAGACTTGTGTCGATTTGTAGCAGCTGTTTACTGTCACCAGGATGCAGGATCTGCAGCTCTGTGCTACGCTTGCTTGTCCTGTTGTTGGTGCTTGCTTGCCGTGGAGAAGAAGGAATTTATAACAAATAAATGGCTAAAGTCAAACAGAGTTTAAAAACAGTCAAATTTAGGGCTGTTAGATATAACGATATATATCGGGTGACGATATTAAAACATCTATCGTTTCATTTTACGCTATCGTTTGTTTCGTTGTGTCGCAAAATAAACTGTTTACGGCAATATGTTTTTTTTCATTGTTTTGATGGTGACTGCAGTGGCTATATTAATTTCTTAAAGTTCTCTTGTTTTTTTATATTTAATATAACCACACTACTGACGGACAAGCGTCTGTTTTTATGCTTTGTCGTTAGCAACAGCGACGGTAAAATGTCGCGTGTCCACTTGTTTATGTTCCACATAAACCTTTCACAATAAAGCTCAAGATCCTGTTGAGACTTTTCAAAATGAACTGAATCACGTGAAAAAGTATGCAGAGTGTTTACGGATGAGAAGCAAAAAAGAGCCGCCAGGTGCTAAAAAATAAACCTTAGACTCAAACGTTAGAACAGGCTTTTCCCCGCAGCACGCTGTGTAATAAATACTGACAAAGAAAACAGCGGCCGTTACAACTTATGTCTAAAAATGTATCGTTTCATGCATCGGTTAAAACACTCTACTCCATGTACACGACGCCCAGCTGGAAAAACTTCACGCAAGTCGAGCTGCCCGAGAGTCACAGAATTTACAGAAAATGTTAAATTTTTGTGATTTATATCGTTATTGGGCCGATAAATGTCTTATATCGAGATATGAAATTTTGGTCATATCGCACAGCCCTAGTCAAATTTGTACTACTTCTCAGACTTTCATATTCTTTGTGTATTGCCTAATATTTGAAATATCACTATCAATCTTGTATAAACTTGCTGCATTAATCAAATCCTGCTTGGGACACAGTATAGTTTAGTAAAGAAGCTTAGTCTAACCAGAGGGTGGCACCACAGGAAAAGTCATATAATCTAAATCAGCTGAATCATTCTATTAGAAATGAAAAGGTGTGGTGAGTGTGTTTGTGTGTGTAATCAATTTTCTGCTGCTTTACCTCAGTGACCTGACTGGAATTTTTCACTTGCATTTCAGCCGGTTGGAAACCATATTCGAGGAGGTGCCTCTCAATCGCAGGAATGGCTCTGAGTCCTGGTTTGGTCAGAGGCGTGTGAAACGATTTTTAGAGTTCCTGGAGGTCGGCGAGGTCAGAAAACCAAAGAAGCCACTTGTCGGAGTGAGTAAAGCAGGTATTTCCACTTCCAGGACCCGACGAGGGGGCTTCCTTAAAGACGAACCGTCCCTCAGCGTGCAGGATGTGGACTCGCTGCTCTGTGCGAAGCTGGATCAGCTCAATTTGTGGCTGATTCATGATCAGAAAGACAGCTGACCGATGCCTCTCAGGTGACTGTTTTGGCAGCCATTAAAAACCAGATAATACTGTCTATATAAATATTTCAACATGAAGATTGAGTGTGCCAGCAACTCTTTTTGTCAACACGGTCTGTATAAATGTTTTGGTGGCAAGTTCTAAATGAAGAATGTTTATTCTGTAGCGTTTGTAGCCTGAAAGTTGAAGAACAGTACATGATAGCGCCGTTAAAAGTATTGCCTCATAAACGTGGTTAAGAATGTGTAGAGTAAGTCGTTTTTCAATCATTGCCGTCGCTGTCCCTTCCTTTTAGTTACGATCCGTCCATGATGGATGAAAACTGTTAGCATCAGCAAAAAAATCAGCAATATGAAAAGCCAAACTCCCTGTCAGGGTGACTCAGTGCCATTCACTTACAGTAACTGTGTGTTTGACAAGTGATAATGCACGTTGTGTCTGATTTCTTCAAGTGCATTTGGGCCATTTGAGGTGCAACTTTAAAAAAACAAACAAACCTGAGATTTAAATTTTTATGTTTAGGGGGAAAGGAGATTAAAGTGTCACAGTTTTAAGAAAATTGAAAGCCTGAAATCATAACCTCAAAGGAAGAATGGGCTACGTTTTTACACCCGAGATGTAAAGAGCGAATCTTAGGTGCAAATGTCAGTGAGGAGGTGCAGCAAAACCCAACGCATAACTGCGATCAATTTGTATTTTGTTTTGTTTCTGTCTGTCTGGGTGATGGATGATAATTTGGTTCTCGACTTAAATTGCCAGCATTTATATAGTTCTTAATTATTCGTGTCAGCCTGTGGGGTCTGTGATATGATGAAATTGATCCAGCCTTAAAATTTCTTGTAAATTTATGAATTTAATCTTTGGTGTTCTTGTGGATTACGACTTCCTCGCTAGCCTATTCACCGAGAATGGCACTAATACACAGAATCCTAATCAGCTGTCTGTTTTTGGAAGAAAGCAGTCAATCACCTTAGATGTTGTGACCTTACCACATCATTGTAAGTGGTTATATAGGCAGCTATTATTATTATTATTATTATTATTATTATTATTATTATTATTATTATTATTATTATTATTATTTATTTTTTTTTAATTAACTAAATGCCGAATACAATATACTCTTCAAGGTGCCAGGTGGAGATTCATAGTCACTGGACTCGGTTTCACAACCACATTTTGTACAATCAGTCGTCTACATGTAGTTTGGACTGCATACGTCATTGTACTCAGCTCAGGGCAGAGCCTCAGTGAAATGTTTGTTCGTGATTTCATAACTGTGGAGGTTTCTTTTGTATTAAATGTGCCATAAAGACAATATGACTCTCCAGTAAGCATTTCTAATGATTACTGGAAGTGTCCACTGCTGTTTTTCCGTGGTGTTTATATTTGCATTGCAAGTATTAACTTATCATTAAACAGCCTATATGTGTTTATTATATATTTGCCAAATGTTAATGGGGTTGCCTTAACTGTAAAAATGTGTTTAAATAGGTGTTTTGTCTGCACATTTGTAATCATTGGTGGGGGTTTTTCTGTGCGTGTTAAAATGTTTCCAGCAACTCCGAGCACAAAAGTCATTTTATTATAAAATTGTTTAATGTTTGTATAAAAGTGCAGCATATATACATTTGACATTAATAAAGTGAATACAGTAACAATGCAATAATGCCAATGTGGTACACCAAGAGCAGGACCTCATAATGTCCTGATGAAACACTGCCACGCATTTTATATCTGGTAGAGACTCAATCCTGAAGTTATTCTTTGCTATAATTGAGTGGCTTGTTGATTGATTCATTAACTTTCTTAATATCTGTAGTTATCTACAGTAAGGAAGTTAAAGTGTAATGGAGAGTATTAAAGTTTGGGTAATTACTGGAGTGTAACAGGTGTAATCTTTGATTTACAAATGTATATGTGTAATATTGTGTCATGTTCTGTAACTATAGGCAATGCTGGATTTTTACATTTGCAGTTGGAATTGTCCACATGTCCATATAATGTCAAATAAATATTACAGCATATAACAAACAGTTTTAATACATTTAATACGATTTTCAGCTTTGTTTGTTCTTGTAAAGGCTGATTAGAGTGCATTCAGCACAAGCTAAACAAATTCAGTATTTTTAAGGCTATTGTAACTTTTAGTTACTCCATAGCTTCAGTGATCTAGTTGATCAGAATCTTTAAAGACACTCCCCTGGATGTGCTCCACTGAGGTTTGTCAATCAAAGCCCAGGTTTGATAGGACCAGCACCAGTAATACCAGTGTCAAAGACGCTGACACCAGAATGGAAACCCATGTCACGATGGAGATGATGCTCCATTTTTTGGCCTGTCTTAAATACTTTGCAGCTCTCCTTTCTCTTGTCCGCTTGGCTTTCTCTGCTTTGTCAGCATTCTCAGCCTGGTGAAGTAAAGATGTGACAATACTTTTGATTTAAAGATCATGCCAAACAAACATGATAAATGACTAGTGTATAGTTGTAAAGAGATGTAGCAGATAAGGTGTTTGTCAAATATAAACATGCTTATCCTCATAAGAAAGTTTTCAAATGCTGGTTTGCTGCAGGTTGGCTGCCTGCAGAGAAAATAACTTACCTTTACAGAATAAATCAAGGCTCGGACTCCGAAGCAGGAGAACCCGCAGATGATACTAGAGATGGCCAGCTTCCTGTGGTACTTGTCACTGCAGCAGGACGCAGGAGAGTCCTCACCGACACAGATTACTTGATTGCCACTGTCCTCAGGTTGTTGAACACCTGTTCCTGGTACAGAGTTCAGCGGGAGCGCTTCCTCTATCGGTGCATCTAACTGATATGACTCTGACATCACTGCAAAATATGCCGTCAAGTTAGAGAAAGTTTAAACTCAAAGACAAGACGTGGTAAGCTGTGCGAGACAACTTTAAGCAATGTAAGGATTCTGTGTGCACAACAGCACTGGAAGGATAAGTTAATGGTTTCAGTGGCTGCTTGATAAGAATGTTTGTTTAAAGGATAAAAAGGAGTTTTAAGGAACTGGTTTCATTCTATCTGCTGGTTTCACCCTGCTTAGTTAAATGTTTATTTTGTTATTGCTCTGGCTTTTTGACTTATACATCACACTGCATTAATAGTCAGACAGAACAGTCCAAATAATCATCAAAGGGTTTTATGTATTAATTCTTTTAGCTATATTGTCCTTAATTTTTCAAATCAGTCTTTCTTTTGTGAAACTGGAGCGCTCGGGGGGGAACTGTTGTTGCTGACCATGTGGCTTGTGTTACAATGAGTTGGCTTGGGGCAGCTTTAATAATTAATTTCCTACAAGACTGTACAAAATCCCACTTAAGAATTTTATATGAAATGCCTTCTGCATGTCTAAACATCCCTCTCCGTGACCACCTCTTCCCTGGGAATACCAAGGCATTCCCAAGCCAGATGAGAAATATAATCTCTCCAGTGTATCCTGGAGCTGCCTCCACCCACTGGGACATATCCCAAACATCTCAGCTAGTAGACAGTCCCTCCTGAATGACTGAGCTTCTCACTTCATCACTACAGGAGAGCTCAGATAAAATTCAAAAAGGAAGAAGGCTCATTTTGGGCACTACCCACTGGTGTGTCCAAAGCTGAATAATAACCTGTAATAATAACACAAGTCAATTCATGGGGGTAGATTTCATGTAGCCCGTGCACATCTCTAACTACTTTGGTGAACTCAGCCACAGTAGTGAACGAGCCATCCCTCTTGTTCCCAGACTCTCTTTCCTCTAATCAAAATTGGGATATAGGACATTAAAAGTACTCCTTCTACTTTCTCACCATATGCTCAGTTGAGGTTCTCCTGTCCATGCTCTGACCAAACTCCCCCCACGCCCAAGTCTCTCCTTAAGCTATTGATAGAGCTGCACTGGCTTGGCGTGCTGGCACTCATTATCTGCCTCCTGAGTCCCACAAACCAATCAGATTCGACCCTTCTTCAGCTTGACAGCTCTCTTCACCTCCATCTGATTTGGGGTTTCCCCCCAAAAGGCCACAACCACCTTATGGCCACAGCTCCATCAGCAAAGAAGGAGCAGAACAGTATCTATTTAGACTTAATGCCTCCAGGCTCCTTTGAAATTTCTGCTGGAGGTTTGAATTGAGGACTTTGTGGAACCAGGTGCTCCCAGCACCTCCCAGCACCCTCTTGCTATATGTTCGTGTACACCAGGTTAGTCCAGCATCCTTTCCCACCATCAAATCAGCACCGCTCCTCTCTTCACCTTAGTCTAAACATGTTCTGCAAAATATGCAAAATTTGTAGTGTATTTTCTTAAGTGCGTGTGAGAATTTTTTTGGGGAGTGGGTATTTTCACAGGAAATAAAAAGTATCCCGTGAAAAGTGTAACATGAAGAGGATGATAGGTATCGATGTTCCCTGTTACCTAAAAACAAAACAAAAGAAAAACACTCCCTCCTCTCTAAAACCAAAAACTTGAAAAACTTGATTGGCTGGCGCAGTCAAGAAAAAGTATCAGCTGAGTGTTGGACTATAATATTACACAGTGCTGTGAATGATTTGTAATAAACAGCAACTAAATTATGGCCTGTATCTTCAAATGTAGTGAAATATTACAGTAAACATGAGTTGATTGAGAAGGTTTTAAATAAAGTACAAACCTGATTTCTTCGGTCTGATGTCACTCCTTCAGTGAAGCAAAGGTTGTCTGGTTTCTTTTTAGGGTGATATCGAAGTCTTGATGAGATGATAAGCAGGTATGTTCTCTCCTCCTTCTGTAACCTGACGTGTCTTCCTTTAAAACGTGTCAGTTGAAGTTTAAAAATGTCCACAAATGGTCATTCAAACACCGTTCACCTGGTTGTAGGATGATGACATAAACCTGTGCTTCTACCATGTACGTTTCTGAATGACAGGACTGTGCATGAGGAATGAAGCCGCGCCTGATAAAGACTGTAACTGGTTGAATCTGAAGGTGGCACCAGAGGAAAGGTCGTGTTATCTGAATCAGCTCTATCTAAATTGCTTTATAATAAGTAGGAAAATAAGTGTGTCATTCATAATATAATCTGTACTATATTACCTTACCCCTGACTGGAACCTGTCACTTGTGTTTCAATATGCTGGATATTCGAGGTGCATGAATGGTTCTGATTTGGCCAGACGTCGTGACATTTTGAGGTAGTTCCTTGAGTTCGGTCTAGTTTGTGTTACCAGGTTTAATAAATCTGCACAAACAGATTTCTGGTGACTGGTACGTTTATATTAAATCATAAAATGTTTTTGTTTAGGTTTTCTCATCACACCATAGTAAACAGGAAATGGAACAGCTGAGCAGGAGGGGCGCAAACCTTGTGCCAAGCATCAGCAGGAGCTCGGTGTTCAAGATGGATGCATCATGTGGGGTTCCAGAGTCATTGTTCCACCCCAGGATGAACACAGATGATTGAAGTGCTGCATGAAGCTCATCCAGGCATTTCTTGAATAAAAATGTTGCCAGATCATTAGTGTGGTGCCCGGGAATGCAGAGCTCTTTGGAGGAAAAGGTAAAAGTATGTTCTCAATTTCAGAGAAACCAAATACAGGCACCACCTCCAATCCATCCATGGGAGTGGTCTAGCCATTCATGGTCCAGACTCCACCTAGGTTTTGCTGGCCAATATATGGGTCACATAATGGGTCCAGTCACTACTGACGGACTCCCGGGAATCTTGGATTACATGGACTGGTTTTTCCTGTTCCAATTTCTGATTACACCTCACACAACCACAGGCATGAACCCCAGATAAATTGTTGATGAGGAGAAAGTCCTCCTTCACCCAAATGTGGGAGCCAAAGTCACCCAGCCACATGGGTGACATCTCCAAACGCCCTGATAGACTGAACTATTAAAAAATGTGGTCAGTACAAGTAACACTGTACATTTAGGGCGATCGTGGCTCAAGAGTTGGGAGTTCGCCTTGTAATCGGAAGGTTGCCGGTTCGAGCCCCGGCTTGGACAGTCTTGGTCGTTGTGTCCTTGGGCAAGACACTTCACCCGTTGCCTACTGGTGGTGGTCAGAGGGCCCGGTGGCGCCAGTGTCCGGCAGCCTCGCCTCTGTCAGTGCGCCCCAGGGTGGCTGTGGCTACAATGTAGCTTACCATCACCAGTGTGTGAATGGGTGGATGACTGGATATGTAAAGCGCTTTGGGGTCCTTAGGGACTAGTAAAAGCGCTATATAAATACAGGCCATTTACCATTTAAAAAAAAACTTTGTCAAATGATAATGAGATACTGTAAAACTATTAAAATATTTTGTTTTGTACGCACAAATACTTCAATCAAATCAAAGCATAAAAAATCTGTCATTTTATTAGAAAACAGCTTGTGTTAATGCTTGTATAAAAGTACAACATGTATATATATATACATTAATGAAGTAAATATTGTAACAATGCAATAATCCCATGGCAACGTTTTTTTAATGAGTACATGTTAAAATGTTTCAAGTGGATGAAGACCATAAAAGTTTCCTCATTTTATTATAAAATTGTTTGTTAATGTTTGTATAAAAGTGCAGCATATATATACATTTGACATTAATAAACTAAAATAGCAAGAACAGGACCTCATAATGTCCTGATAAAGCACTGCCCCAATCACTGCCTCGCATTTTATCTCCAGTAGAGACTCAATCCTAAAGTCACAAGTTGCCTCATTTTAAAGTGACTTGTTGATTGATTGATTAACTTATATAGCATCTGTAGTCATCTACAGTAAGAAAGTTAAAGTATAACTGTAAGAATATTAAGGATTGAGTCTTTACAGGAGCAGCTTTACATTTAAGTAGCTTTATATTATATATAACAGCTTTAGTCTTCAATCTATAATATATACATGTACGTTCGTATAGTCCACGGGTCAACAGATGGTTTAATAAATATCACAGCATATAACAAAAACAGTTGTTAGACATTTAATACTATTTTGAAAGATGTTTGTTCTTTGTGTAAAAACTAAAGGAGCTAGAAAAGTATAAATTAGGACAGCACCCATTTCAGCGTAAGAAAAACCAAGACAGCCTTTTTCCATTTAATGTAACCTGTAGTTTCTCCACAGCTTTGGTGTTCGTAGCCATTGATTCAGCAGCTTCCTGCTCTCCACTGTCCGTCTCCTTAAACATCAGCAGAGACACTCCTCTGGCTGTTCTCCTTTGAGGTTGATCAGTCAATCAAAGTGGCGAGATACGAGCCCAGTGCCAGCAGCAATGGAGCTGACACTAGAACGGAAACCCACGTCACGATGGAGATGATGCCCCATTTTTTGGCCTGTCTTAAATACTCTGGAGCTCTCCTGTCTGTCGTCTGCTCGGCCTTCTCAGCTTTTTCAGCATCCTCAGCCTGTTAAAGTAAACACACGACAATATTTTTCATTTAAAGATGAAATCAAAAAGAAGAAGCATTTTATTTCAGTTTCTCTTATTCTAAGGGAACATAATAATTGAATATGTAGATCTGAGGAGACGTGAAGGTTAAGATGTTTCTCATTAATGAGCTGTGTGTAAGTGGAAGCTGTGTTTTTGCTGCACACTCTGATGCTGTTCTCATAGGATTGGAAACAAATCCAGAGTGCACATTATGAATAATAACTTCCGCAGAACATTGCTTTTCTTACAACATGAGGATCATACCCTCATTCACTGCACTGTGCCTGGTTTAGGGCAAGTTTTTTAACACACCTGTACGAACAGGTGATTGTAGAGCTGAAAAACCCTTTTAAATTGAAGAAGAGCTGCATGAAGAAATCTGGTTTCCAACAGGAATTACTTGCCCTTGTCTTGTGTCAGATAAAATTTGACTAAAGCATCCCAAACCAGCCATGGCAGTTAATCTAAGTATGGTTATTCTCATAAGAGACGCCTGCATGTACTCAGAACATGACTTAAAATAAAGTACCTTGACAGAATAAATCAAAGCTGGGACTCCGCAGCAGGAAAACCCGCAGATGATGCTACAGACGGCCAGTTTCCTGTGGTACTTGTCATTGCAGCAGGACGCAGCAGAGTCCTCACAGATTACTTGACTGCAGGTTTCCTCAGGTTGTTGAAGACCTGTTCCTGTTACAGTAGTCAGTGGAAGACTTTCAAGGTTGTTTAGATGGTTCTGGGATGACTCTGACATCTCTGCAAAATATGACGTAAAGTTAGGGAAAGTTTGACCCAAAAGACAAAAAACGAACATCTCAAACACGCTTAAACATTTTGTGTGCACAGAAACACTGAACGGACAGTTTGATGGCTGCTTGATAGACATGTTTGATTTTTCAAGATAAAAGCAACTTTAAGGAACTAGTTTGTTTTCAAAGGACAAACCCTGCTCATGTAAACCGGTTTTCTCCACCACTGAACAAAACAATTTCGATTCAGATTCAAAAGAATTTAAAATAAATGTTTCCCACGGGTTTAAACACGCTCTGCAAAAAAATTTAGTGTATACTTGAGAATGTAAGTGAGGACTGGGTATTTCCATAAGAAACAGAAAGTATATTTTGAAGAATGTTGCAATACAGTGAGCAGCGTGCGTAACAGTCTTCCCCTGTTACTAAAAAATAAAAAATAAAGTAATAGCTTGAAAAACTAGCTTGGTGGGCAGGTTGTTACGGCAAGTTGAAGCCTGAAGTGTTATCTAGCCTCTGATTTAAAAGAGTCGGGCGGACGACACCTACATTGTGCATTTTTTGGTAAGAGATGAGAAAATGTATGAGCCGAGTGTAATATTACACATGCAGGGCTGCGAATCATTTGTAGTGAAGAGGGAGAAAACTCCGTCCTCCACCCTTCACATGAAGTGGAATACAACAGTAAACATGAGGCGATTAAGTAAGCTTTGATCAAACGCTGCTGTACACCAAAATCTTAAAGGTGGTTCTACAAGGCAAACAGAGTATTAACAACTAGGGAGATAAGATTTTTTTAATCACTATGACAACCACTTAGACCGCATTCAAAGGCTGAAATCAAGTACAAACCTGAGCAAGTTTTAAAAGGCAGTGTCCTGAATCCACTACTCAGTCTGATCTTTGTTCAAAGTTTGTCCGGCTTCTTCTCAGAGTGATATCAAAGCCTTGTTGAGATGGTCAGCAGGTCTTTTCCAACTCGAGCTGCCTTCCTTTAATATGTGAAGATTTCAGTTAAATATTTACAAATGGACATCCAAAGAGCGCTACTGTGATTGTAGAGAGACGACATAAACCTGATCTGTTCCTGTTCTACACAAGCTGTTGAATGACAGGAAGAATAGCCTTTAGTGAAGCTCTGTTTGCGACTTCCACTCCCATTTCCCCTTTACTGCCCTGCCCTCTTTCCCCCCCGTCTCCACTCCCACTCATAAAATGTGTCAGCTTGTTATTACCTCACAGTGTTGCGTTAGTTCTCATATTTTATTTCAGTTTAGATTTTCCTTTCTCTTCCTCAGCAGTCGCACTGATACATAATGCACAGACTTACAACTGTTTCTTATTTCATACCAGATTCCAGAAGAGCTGAGAAAGGTGTGTCAGAACTTGTAATGCCTTCAGGTAAACCTGAGATTCCAGTCTGCTATCTATTTTTAAATTGCCCTTTCCTCTGATTGTACACTTGATTTTCTTTCTGCTCATCACAGCAGAATCAATCACTTTTAACACACCCTGTTTTTTCCAGTCTCCTGACCCCCCTCTCCTCTCTGACCTTCGCATAAGATACATTCTTAAACACTGATGCAACCTGAGAGCATTTTTCCAACATTGACCCCACCCACTGTACACAAATACGGCTGTTCCCTGAGACTAAAAAACCTGCCGTGACGTTACAATCAGGGTGCTGTTTGTTTTGTGTCATAGTGCCAGGCATTTCAAAAAAAAAGAAAAAAAAAAGACTGCCAATATGTTACAACGGGGCGATCGTGGCTCAAGAGTTGGGAGTTTGTCTTGTAACCGGAAGGTTGCCGGTTCGAGCCCCGGCTCGGACAGTCTCGGTCGTTGTGTCCTTGGGCAAGACACTTCACCCGTTGCCTACTGGTGGTGGTCAGAGGGCCCGGTGGCGCCAGTGTCCGGCAGCCTCGCCTCTGTCAGTGCGCCCCAGGGTGGCTACAATGTAGCTTGCCATCACCAGTGTGTGAATGGGTGGATGACTGGTTGTGTAAAGTGCTTTGGGGTCCTTAGGGACTAGTAAAGCTATACAAATTCAGGCCATTTACCATTACAGTTAATGTAATGACCCTTTCATATATCTAAATATAGCGACAGCTGGCTGTTTCAAAGCAATAAAATTGGTTTTACGGAGTTGTAATTGAGCAAACCTAGACTGGGGAGAGATCACTGAATAAAATATTCAAATGAAAGTATACAAACTTTATATAATACAATGAAGTTTTATGACATAAAATTTTTGTGGTAAATTCTGTCCTGTTAAAAGAAAAACCTCTGCTGTGTCTAGGAGCGGACACACAAAAACATACAAGTGATGCAGTCATCCGCACTGCCCTACATCCACAAATAGCTTCTGGCAGGAATATGCAACTCTGTAACACAAATAATGGAAAACAGCCAGAATCTGGAGACAAGTAAAGGTACCCCACAGAAACATTTAAACACCTTGAACTGTTTATTCTTCAAATTTGAAAGATCTACGTAAGTAAACTGGATCAACTAAAGCAGAGAAGATACATAAGATAAACACTGCTGTTATATATAAACAGTAATTTTATTGAATGATGGCAAAACAAAGTCAGAGTAGGCTTTTTATGATTTGTGCCATCAGCAGGGTGTGTGTGATTTCTTCTAATTTTAAAGGTAATTAAGGCAGGATGCAGGGTTCAGTACAAGCAGCCTATAAGTCTGCTGCAAAATAGCAGTGAGCAAATATCCTGTAGTGGCTGAGTAATACTAGAAGAATGCGACTGGTAAGTTTCTTCTCCAGGTGAATCATTTAAACCACCTGTGACCTGTTACCGCCCACATTCCTTGACCTTTCCTGCATCAACAATACGACTGCAACTGTGTGCGATAAAACAACAGATGTTTTGTAGATGCACAGTTACAGTTCTGTGCAATAAAAATGTTTAGGTGCAAGTTGTACAGTAAATATATTTACATTCTCCCCAAAAACTGCAATAAAATGATGACATATAAGAATAGTTTGAACCCTATGAGATCTAACTCACCTATGGTAATGAATCTAAACCTTAGCCTTTGCTATCTGAATATATCATTCTCATTTATTTATTTATTTATTTTTGACACTAGGTCAAACTCAGTTTTACTCATTGCAACTAATTTTACAGAGGTCTAGGCTGATTATCAGAGCATTCAAAGTCTTAACAGTTCCACGTCTTCACTTGAACCCACCCTCACCCCCCTTTTTTGTACTTTTAGCTGTTTATATAAGGGCATTTTAACCACTGTAAACACCTCGTGACAGTCTGGTATTTTTCCTGCCTTACTTAAATCTTGTTAAACCACATTTAAAGAAAAACAGTCTAAATCTGTCTGTTATTAATAACTGCAGACACATAACTAATGTTACATTACTTTGTAGAATTTTAAGGGAAAAAAACCCATCCACGAATTACCACTGACACTAAACTATGAAGATTTCTAATGATTTCTGCAATGTTGTAACTACAGAGGTGGGCAGGCCAATGGAGGGTGGGACTTTGGTGTTTGTCTTGGGAATTTTAGCTCATGTGTCACACCCCATGACAATTATTAACTTACACCAGTTACCATGGTCACTTGATTAACAATCACAATACGTGGTTGTTAATTGAGTGTGTCATAAGCGTGTGTCATCAACTAAGCTCCTGACACAGCGTTCCCAGTCTGCTGACTGACACACTATCAGTTTCATTGATGTTGATAACAGTATGGCTAAAACCGCCTTCAGTTTAACTTTGATCAGAAAGCGGTCCTGACCACTGGAGTCTCACAGATGCTGACCTCACTTCAGCATCTGATTTCCTGGGCCACATCATGAACATTGTTAGAATCTGATTTATCACCACAGAAATATAATAAAGATTCGGCAGTTATCATGTAACTAAATAACTCATCCATGTATCTCTAGTTTGCTGAATGATTGCAATGCACTGCTTACAGGAATCTTAAGAAACTACCTTGAACAACTAAAGCCACAGCTTGCAAAATTATAGGTAAATATTTAACTATGTAACTACTATAACTATTTATAAATTTTAAATTTATTTAAATTACGTGAAGTTCATTGCATGAGCCGTATGAAACAAGGTTGGTGAAATTTAGGGGAAAGAAACTGTAGATATTGTCTTAAATGAATGTGCATTGCAATGTTGGTATCACATTTTTATTTTTATTTATATTTTATTTATTTATCCTGCTTGTGTACGCTTTTTGTGTTTTATTTGACAGTATTTGTTTTTATCATCTGAGTTCATTCATGTTAACTGACACATGGTTATGAAAAATATTTATTGTTCCTCCAGCAAGACCGTAAAAAGCGAAGAAAAAAAAATCTATTTCTCGTTTCTTTGACGTCATTTGAGCGTCTCCGCTGGGGCTCCGCCTTGAACTTCTAATCCACCAATGAGTGATCGGGAAACTGTGAGTGCGGAAGCAAACCCGGAAACGTCACAAATCAAAACAAAACAGGACACGTCGGCTCTGTCACGCTGAAGTCCACTTTTAGCTGGGCTTTAATTAAATGCATTCCAGTGGATCTGAAGCCGCAGAATTGCTCAGTTTGTTTAAAAAATCGTTTACATCCCTCCGACTATCGCTCTTAAAAGTATAAATGGAGACGGACAAAGGTGTGGTTTTGGCAACAGAGAGATATGGCAGTGCAGAATCCTGGAAGTATGTATCAAAAGATGGAGTGATGGAGAGGAGGAGAGATGGGAGTGAAGGTCACTCAGGAGGAAACTCGGTTTTTGGAGTTTTTAAAGTAAGGCACAAGTGAACTTAATTGTGCTTACGCTAACTGCAAACATCAACCTGAAGTTTGAACTTTTCATTTCAGAGCGTCTTTCTGCCTCAAGGTTATCCAGAGAGTGTGAGTGATGATTATCTGCAGTACCAGTTCTGGGATACAATGCAGGTACAGTGGGTAATACAACAGGGATAGTTACATATCTGTGACATTAAACCCCTTCAGTCACGCTCTTCCTCCTCTCTCAGGCCTTCTCCAGCTCCCTGTCAGGGACTCTCGCCACTCAGGCTTCCCTCAGAGGTGTTGGTGTTGGAAACCAGGAGGCCACCGTAGCTGCAGCCACTGTTACCTGGTTATTAAAAGGTGGAAAAATACTGTACATTTACATTAACCCTGCACAGCTCGTGCTGACCTCACTGGTGTTTCGATAACAAACAAATGTGTCTCCCTGCAGATGGGACTGGCATGTTGGGAAGAATCCTCTTCGCCTGGCAGAAAGGGTAAGGCTTATATGAGAAGATCT